CGGCAACAGCAGCAACAGCAACGACAAGGCCAAGGACAAGGTCAAAGTGAAGGACAAGACAGACAGACAGACAGACAGACAGACAGGCAGACCGACGGACAGACAGACAGACAGACAGACAGACAGACAGACAGACAGCCAGGCAGACAGACAGACAGGCAAACAAATAGGCGTTTTTGCAAACATAAAACAGTAAAACAACAACAACAACAACAACAACAACAACAACACCAATTACAACTACAACAACACCGGCTGGTACTTCTACTGCTGACAGGAGACCTGTTTCTGTTGTTCCTGTTCCTTTTCAGTTGCTACCCATGTTTCGCTCATCCCTGTGTCAGTGGCAGGGCTCAATTCTCTATGTCAAGGACAGCCACTGAGACTTAGGACTCTCTGGCTTCAGGAGTTGAGATCGGCTCAACGGTGAAGGTTTCCGAGTGGTTTTTGTTTCCATCCAGGCTGGACGAAGGAGCCCTCAATTCAAAGAAACACGCTGGAACTTAAGCAGTCTCAATCTCTGACCCCGCATACAAAAGAAACTTTGATGTGATTTTCGCTAAACTATAGCAACCCCGAAAGTAAAGCAACTCCACAATACCAAGTCAGACAACCCTCAAAGCCTGGCAAACAAAAACTGAATCCCTACATCTTCCAATCAGAGCACTTGAAGGGGCACGGAGGTGTTGTGACGTTGTCGTCGGGCGCTCCTGAGAATCGGCCTGACGCCAAATGCGAACCCGGATGTTATCAGTGCACGCCATTGTATTTTCACTTTCCATGCGATGCCACCCCTCGAGCCGCTTAACTCCAACCCTCACTGCCTCACGCCACACCAGAAAATCGCAATGAGCAGCATCCCTTCAACGGCCCGACACGACTTCACCTGAAACCCTGCCGGTAACCCGTACACCTTCACGGCAAAGCCAGCAACCACGAACCCCACATATCGTTACCAGACACAACATGACACACAATGTCTCTCAGCGTCAGGCCTGTGTCCCTAGTATGCAGCAATGCTGATGGTGATCTTGACACCGTCATTTACGGCAAACCCAAGGGATACTGGAATGCAGCTTTTCTTGTCAACTCTACCAAACGGACAGCGCCTCAAGCCTGCCATCATTGTTGGAATGTGTTGCGGTGCTGCTTTTGCACATGTTCGCATGGCCTCTGTGTGTTTCCTTGTGGCCCGCTTCTTTTGGCGGGTATTGCCATTGCAGCACTCTTGTTGGAAGTCTACTGTTCAGACTGAGGGAGTGGGGGGTTTCTAAACCATACTATACGTGCAGGAAGGAACGCCAAGGAATAATATTTTCAACTCCCATCAGGCCCCTGTATTGCATGGTTTTCCCACAAGTATCCTCACAGTACAAAAACAGCCACGTTGCCAACATTCCTCAGCAGTCGTGTTTATGCTCACCAAAACCCGAACTTCACATAAGCCCTACCTAAACCGGCCTAAACCTTCAAACCCGGGGAACTCCTCCCAGTCCAACCCCTCGCTGGTCGATTGCCCACCAATCGAAATGGGAGTTCAGGTCGCTGGCATTGCCTTCAGACACTTGGGGTGGCCTCTGCTTCTTTCAAGCGGTTTTGGAAGGGTTTCAGGAGTGTTTCAAGGCTTGTGTTTGGACTGAGTGTTGACCCTTTAGGGTCTGGTGCTTCAGAGTTGGGTTCTCACACTCGCACAAGGCAGGAGATGGTATTGGGAAGATGAAAGCCTTGTGCCAGGAGCCCAATACCTTGAACCGTGCCAGAGGGCTTACCGCTTGCACATCAGTTCGGCATGATTGATAGCACAGGCGCCTTTGTGAAGTTTAAAGTTCCTGTTGGTTTGAGACTTGAAACTGGGCGACCTGCCAGCCGCCACGAAGACACCAACGCAGCATACGCAGCTTTCCCGGAAGAGAATGGGGTGCTGGGTTGCTTCTACTCTGCATATGCAGAGATTGGGAAATGCTACGGCTCCCAACCTGATGCTGAACCCTAACTTGCCGAACGCAAATCTACGACCAGTACTGTAAACCTTACAATCGCCACTAACACCCTAAACTTGAATCCTCAATGCCATATTTGGTGCCTTCGCCGCGAATGTCGAAGCCTTTCTTCGGCAGGCATTCCTTGCCGCTTCCTGTGAAAGCTGTGTCATACGAAGGCCTGAAAAATTGGTTCTAGACGAGTTGTGCGTTTTCGCTTCGTCTATACCAGCGTAGACCCGAATAGGTAAAGAGCAGCTAGCTGCTAGTCCAAACAGGGTTGTGACAGGAGCATGACGATTTGCAGGCGGGCACGCGCAGGACTGTGGCGGGTAGACGATGCACGCGTCGTCAGCATATCTTAACCTCCCCAATCCTTACGTAAGAACTCCAAAGTGCTGCCCACAGCTTGGGGAATAAATAAAAGAAGCCGAAGGAGGAATCACCATGTGACTACATACTCAATCCTTCTGCTGCTGGGAGGCGCTTCGACTTAAATGATCTGTCAGGCGAAACAGGTGATCCCCAACTACGAGTAATTAAGTGGATCAGGGAGTGCACGGATCAGGTTTTGGGAGCATGCAACAGCACACTGAAGCCAAACGTCCGAAACTCTGAAATTTGTCAGGGTTTGGTTCTTTTACTTCCCGCGTTGTACTACGGATAACTTGCCCTCAGCGCCATGCCGCGCATCTTGTTCCACACGGGTTAAATATGAGGACGAAGCCAGCGGCATGAGACCACAGGACTGACAAAACGACCGCAGCTCCCTAAACCAAGCAGTACAACTGCACAAAACCACAACACCGCCAAAGTTGGTCACGAGACGGAATTACATGCTGGATCTTCTGTGGGGGTTTTTGACTTCGGTGTTGTGCAGCTGTTGGGCGGCAGTGCGATTCTTGGAGGGAAAGGCGGTGGCGCTGTGAGTTCAGCAAGTGTAGGTCAGCAGTTTCTCTGCGCGTCTGTCATTTCTTGTTCGTTGTAGCACGATAGTTAGTAAATGAGGCCCTGGAAACCTTGGAATGGTTCAGATGCCTCAAGTAGCATCTAGATTTATGCGGTCTGGGCTTGGGCTGAAAGGGTTCCACATCTAGAAATTCCGAACCGACGGCCCTGAACTTCGCCCTGAAGCCCTCTCTCAAACCTTAACCTAGGCCCCAATTTTTCAATCCGAAACCGTCAACAAATGAATAGTCCCCGAAGCTCCGCCTGGCCCACCACAGTGGATTAGCAGTGGCCCGTTCTGGGCAGGCTGCTGTGTCGCAGGGATTCCATTTACCTCATCTGGGCCGAAAGTCGGAAGCAGAAAGGGCAACAAAAGGTCGAGGCTTCGGGGGCTGCAGGATTACACTGGATTACCGGTTCGGGGGTTCTGGGGTTTATGCGGGGTGGCTCTAAGGATGCAGAGGTTGAAGCGGGCCGTGGGTGCACGGAAATATCGGAGCGTAGTTACGATTCGAAGGAAAGGTCTGAGAGTATATATTGCCGGCCAGGTTTGCAGCGCCTGAAGCCCCGAACCACAGCCCAAGACCTCAGGACCCTACAGCACCAAACTTTCAACCCCCTCATCTTTCAAAAAACACCACCTGAAACCTCCATCCCCTACGAAACCCAGAAAAGCAACTCCAGCCCTGGCACTCGGAGGCAAATGTAGGGCACCGCTTCGTAGGGTGACATGGCCAGGTCATGTACGAGGGGAGTCCTGGGTACTCGTTCGCTCTCTCGCCCTCTCTCGCACCCCCGCTCTCTGTTTTGCAGGAGGGGTTGCGGGTAGAGCATTGAGGGCTTCGGCGTTTAGGGTGAGGGTTGAAGAGTTGAAGGCCTCTTGCAGCTTTCCCACCCGCATAGCTGACGAGGCCGAGGGCTAAGGGTTTGGGATTGAGCCATCTATTCGGGTTGAGAAAGGAGATCCCATTCTACGGTGCCCTGACATCATGACTACCGAAACCGAGGTCCTAGACACAAGCTAGGCTACTAGGCTGTTCAGCAGTCTTGGGCAGATTTTCGTATCGTATCGACCCAGAAACAACAGAAGCCTTATAAACACATCACGGAAAAAGGCTTCGTGATGACTCCAGTCAGCCCCTGTCGTGCCCTAGAGTTTAAAAGCTGAAGACCGCAAACCCCCAACCACTTTTGAACCAGCCCTTCTGAACCTCAAGAGGGCTCAAGAACAGTTCCTTTCAACAGAGAGTCTTCAACCACCCGCTGTAGCGCTCGTGGCCACCGGGAAGTATCACGGTCTCCTCATCCCATACCTTGGCCGGCTTTCAGAGGCTCCGTAGCAATTTTTCTCGGACAGTGCGGGAGAAGGCTGCAGAGAACACTTGGCATAATGTGTATTTACTACCCATGCACTCCTCCCAGCATCTCAGCCCACAAGCACCAACCCTGAACCCCTCGCCAAACCAGAAAGCGGTAACAACAGGGTTTCCAGAACGGCCAAGGTGACGAGCTTCTCTGGATTCCTGGGTTCTTCTTGCAGCTTCACAGAGGGTCTTCACCGCTACAGTATTCCCAAGAAGGGACCTAAATGCACACTCTCCTCTATATACTGTTTGCATGACGTGCCGTACAGTTTCCAACAAAAATAATGTATCATAAACCCTCCCCTCTAGCATTTTCTAGCGAGAGGTAGTTCCTGCAGCGCAAAATCAGATGTACGCCCCTCTTGAATCATGGTATCGCGTCAGGTGCCGGTTCTCACACATAGCACTTATTGTTCCGGATTTCGACAAAGGCCCGGAATCTAGAAACACGAAGGGTGATCTCAGTCCGGACACAAGACAAGGCAGGGGCGGCTTCTCAACATGTCATCCCATGGCCCTACTTAAAGGGCTCAGGGGACCTGGCAAGTGGATTATAACTAGGGTCCTCTGTGCCCTCAGCTCCTGATGAAAACTTTACGTAGAACCTACTTACTTGTAGCAAGTCCCATGAGCCACTAAGTTTCAAGCTCCGACACCTTGCCAGGATGCAACACACCCCGGGCGGTCCTTCAACTCAAAAATTTGCACCATGAGATTGGAACATCGACCACTAGCCCATAGTCGTACTCATATTCATAAGCTGATCCAGGCGTCATAGAAACTATGTACCTACAAATGCGAACGAGTTCCTTTGCGAAGCTGATTTGGCTACTTGAGCTGTGCTGTGGCTCCCATCCCTTCAACTTGCCAGCTCTTTAGCCTTCGAAGCGAAAACCTAACCTCCAGGCCTTCAAGATTGCACGGTCCAGGGTTTGCCGTTTTGAAGGCTGCAGGGATTATGCCCTCCTACAGTCCAAGAGTCGGGTTCAGAAAGGACCACTCCGCCGCGTCTTCGTTTGACTGCTTCCGCCCTCGGAGCCGCGTCTCCCCCGCCGAGCTGAAGCCAAGTCCTTTTTGCGTGGACGTATGGCTTAAGGGGGGCTGGTTCCAAACTGTGTACCACATGGTGTTGGTATATGTCAGCACAAAGTATCCCACCACAAATTGTGAGAGGGACTGTGGCGGGAGCACGGTTTTTATTGGATGCAGAAGCAAAATTCTCATTAGGCCCGGCATACCACGCGCTTGATCCAAGTCCCTTTACCCTGACTTTGCTGACTCAGCATGTTTCTATAAATAAATCTCTTTCGGGGGTATGCTCGCTTGCGATGTAAAGCTTGGCCTTTGACGATTTCTGTAGGATCTCGTGTATCCAAGCTTGGGATGGCAGCACTTCTAGTTGGCTGCACGGATTTCAGCATGGCTTGGATTAAGCAAAATGCTCCAAAAGACGGAATGCTTTTGCTGGCTTACCGTGCCATCATACTTCAGGGATCGCAAAGGGCCCTTTAGTATTTAGTATTCCTAGCATTGCAGCTCCGAGAGGATACTGTACGTGTTTAGTTGAGGTATATAGCAGCCTGAACAATCAGACCAAGGCATCGTGCATGTACAGTCCAAAGGTAGTGGGGGAACCATGCGAAATAGTATTCCCCCCTCGTGCATTGACGCATTTGGTTCGGGCCGGATGAGAGGAGCGACCAAAAAAGTTGCGCTGCCTCCTTACTTCTCTTCACACACTCTCCATCCCACAGTTATTCCCGCCGGTGCTGCCAACATGACAAGTTTCCTCATGTTTCCCTTTCCACTACGGTTCTTTTCGGTCCGACTGGTCCTGCACAAAAGGCCACCAACGCAAGAGGGAGGCGCACCATGGCTGCAGCGAATCTAGGGTGCAGCAACGCTCTCTTTTGGAGCGAAAAAACTGAGCCGACAAAAAACAGCCAGAGATGCCCAGCGTGCAAGCCTGGCTGACGCCCTCGAGGTGTCGATGGAACATTGCAGCAGACGAGTTGGATGCCTTAACCCTGCCTCAACTGAAGCTTCTTGAATGGTGAGGCCGTCTTCGATGCATCTCTGCAACAACGGATATTAGCGAGTCCCGGCCTGTATAAGCCACGTCCTGCTGCAAAGCTAACATGGATAAAGCAAGAACCACACAATAACCCAATTCTGCGAAATTGCTCCACCGTCTGAGCTTGCGATGTGTGTGAGGCCCCTGCATCGGAATGACCAATACCACTCCCTGTGCCGTCGGGTATATGCTTCCTAGGCACTTGGTGCGTTTTCGCCTGTGTGTGTGTGTGTTTGCAAACACTGACGATGTTGCAGGCTCCGTTTGATATTGAAGGTGCTTGTTGATTTTAATTTGCTGCGCTGCTACATCTCACCTTTCCTGTCATGCTGGCAGTCTTGTGTATGCTGGCGTTTTTGATATAGCAATTCCTCTTGCACAATCCTCGGTCGCACTCTTCCCAAGAGATTCGTGTGGGCTTCGTCCGTGCAACCCTCATGCTGTGTTGATGCCGATGGGATTGCGATGGCAACGACGAGGGCGATGACGATCGTCCTCATGGGCCCTTTTTTTCTCGCGCTCATCATGACTTGTCTGACTCCTGAGCCGCTCCCAAAAGTTCAAGTGTTGGCCGTGAGGTATTGTTTAATTTGTTTCACTTGAATAAACATATCCAGAAAGCAGCCAAGCTGCGTGAGACTGCAACTGCCCCAGTTTCCGGGGAATTGTTCGTCGGGTGAAATCCAGACATCTCTACCAGGCAGGCACAAACGGGAGCTTCGGAGGAATGCTGACGGACCCAACTTGACCTCAAGCGAAGCTCTCTGGTGAGCTTCCCTGTGCAGGCTCAGAGTGCCGGCTGCTAGTCTCAGGCATCTTCATCCTGATTGAGCATTGGCATAGAGTTTAATTTGTCAGTTCTGGTTTCCTTGATTTAGCAACCATACCACCCAACTAACAGGCTCGAAATGCACCAAAATCAAGAAATCCTTCACACCCGAGTTTGAGGAGCTTCCAACCTGTTTGCGAGGCCTCGGGAGGCCCAAGTGGTGGATAAATGTTACGGGCTTTGGCCGAATTAAACGACAGTACTTTTGCCTCCCGCCTGGCTAGGACGAACCTACGATGCAGGGTATGACGTTGGCAAAACGCCGACAGTATTGAAAATGTGGTCTTACAGGACCCAAGGTAGGATCATAAACTCACAGCAGATTGTGACACGACTGCTTTTGAGTACTGAGTAATGCGTACGAAAAACATCTTCTTGGGTAATCTTTTTCACCAGACAACCGAAGCTCCAAACACAAACGCTCACACAAACACGCGCGTCACACACCCTTGCCCTGAGTTTTGCTTTCGCATCTGGCAACTTCTGGTCTCTGACCATCTGGTGCAGGCTACTTTGAAGCCTCGCGCAGGTTGCAGCAGCACACAACAGTACGACAAGGTAGAAGGCAAAGAATCTTGAGGTCCTTGTATTCTAAACCCTTAGTCTTCAGCAAGACCGTTAAGGGCCATAGGTCGTCCCTATACAGGAAGCTCTGAGGTATCGAGCAACGCTGCTGCTTCTTGCGCCAGCAGAAAATTGCCGCAGGCTCGTGAAACTGAATGCAGTTGAGAGCGCAACGAATCGAAAAAGCTTGTTGAAGCAGAACAAACAGCATAAACGCTCGGAGACTTGCCACTTGATGGGGATCAAGCACGAAAGGATCTGTGCTGGAGCCCTAAACCCGAAAGACATCAATCCTGCCCTAATCCCTGGACCCTAAATTCTAAATCGCAGACCTAAACCCCGAACTTCTCTGAATCCGACCCGTTTTGGAAAGGGCTCAAAAGCAGCAATGCAATGAGCGAAGCTCTCCACGGAGACTCGGGGAAAGCCAAGATGCCTCTGTGCGATCTGTTTTTGATGGCCTCCTAACAGAAGACAATGTACTACGATGGCATACGTGCAGATTTGTGTGTACATACAACAGAAACAACGGTTAACAGTAACAGCAGTCATAATCACAATAGGAATAACAGTCGTAAAAGAAATAAACAACAAAAGACAATGAACAAAAACGAACTAACACGAGCAACAACAACCCCAAGAAGAACAGTCATAGTCATAAACTCTAAATGATAGTGATAGGTCTGCTATGGTAGCCACTGACACTGATAACACTGAAATTCAAATTCATAATGACAGTAAACATGGTCATAATACTAGTGGCAATTATAGTACTACCAATGATGTTATTATTCATGCTAATAAACACGAATTGCATTCATGCTGCTATCAACAATAACACTGACAATAATAACCACAATAGTAATCACAGTGCTTTTCGCAACAGTTTTTTGTGTCAATCGTAATGAGTCATGAGCTTTGATAACAATGAGAATAAAGACAACAATAAGTAACACTTTTCCTAAAACAAATTCAAGAATATCAATACTGATACTAATACTATTGGATATCATGTACTTTTGTACGCATATACATATAGATAAATAAATAAATATACAGAAGAGGAGGCTGTGGGGCCTGCGTTTTTGCAACCCACTATTTTCAGTAGTTTTGTACGTTTCGACTGGTTGTGTGTATGGCTGTGGGTTTCTGTGTCAGTTGGTCGCTCGAGTGGTGCCCGCGGGTGCACGTTTTCGTTTCCAACTACAACATCAACTCTGAGTTCTTACAAACCACGACACGAGGTCTGTTTATAAACACAGGGTTTGTTTATAAACACCGTGTTTCGGTGTACCATGCTGTCAGCGCTTTGAGTTTGTTGGATGTGATCATTGTCATGTGCCTCGTTTTCTTGTACGTTTTGTTTAATGACGCAATGAAGCTAGATGGTTAACTCTCGTCTGATGCGTGCTCGTTGTCTGAATGTTCGTATTCATTGTATTATGTCGGAGGGAGGGGAGGGGGGGGGCAGGAGTGTTGGGTTGATGTTGGAAGACCCCTCCCCCCCGCCACCAGCACCAACGCGGCGCACGCCATTCACTCCAAGCAACACGTTCACAAATCTCACTTTGCTGCAAATTTTGGATAAAGACACACTGATACGTAGGACTTTGTCTATGTGCCGGCTTGTGTGGTTTAGACCAAGACCTTGTTTGACTGAGAAAGCTATGAAAACAGTGGTATTTACGGAGTTTCTGCTTAGTGAAACATGATAATGTTATGTGGTCCGCTGTTTATAAACAGCTGGCCTTGTTTATAAACACGTGCGTTGTCCATAAAGACATGGGTTGCTTATGTGGGAGATGGTGCATATGTGCGTACACCTGTCTGCTCGTGTAAACACATGTGCTGTTGCTACATAGCTCAGGGTGCCAGTCTTCGCCACCACTATAACCATAGTACAGGACCAGAGGGATATGAAGGGACTGTATATCAAACCAAAAGGCTTTCTGACACGGATACTTGGAGATGGAGGCCTTCGCCACAATTTTAACCATAATAGAGGACTAGAGGATTATGGAGGGACTGTATATCAAACTAAAAAGGCTTCTGATCCGGATACTTGTGGAGATGGAGGCCATGCAAGATCATGCCAGGGCACTGACCACAAGGATTTGTGGAGCTTTATATTCCCCTAGCGAAGTTGCGGCTTCAGCCGCAGCTGCTCCACCATATGTCCGCATTCATATTGATCCAGATACTTGGTATTTTGGATTGTTGATTGTGGGGAATACCCGAAGCTGTAGGGCCTATCGCAGCTAGCAGGACATGAACATGCGCACAAGCAGGATCTGAGTTCGCAAAGACAAGTAGTAAACTTCTTAACCATGGCCAGCTTTTTATATCTTTTTATTCCTTGACTCGTTTGACGGTCACACATGCGGATACATATATTCAACTCACTCATATTTGTTGACATGCAGCAACGAAGCACTGGTCTAAACACCTGTTTTGAATCCTACGCACTTTGCAAAATAAATACGCTAATTCAGTACGTACATGTTCTCAACATTGCATGCCAAAGCAGATGATGCTTTGAGTTCTAGTCTTGGGTGGATTGGATTGATAGGATGAAAAGTCTCGAAGGGATAAGATATATGGCTCCATGAGGGACGTGTCGACTCTATACGGCCTACCCCAAGACTTGGTGCGATAAAGTGAAGAATACACGGCATTTACGGTGAATCCTGCCTGTGATAGTTATTGTGGGAAGAAGATTGAATACATAGCGTATCAATACCGCGGCGTCGTACGCGTTGACGTCTGACTATGCGCACGCTAAACCTGACCTTGAATACATTACTCAGGAATAGAAGTGAACGCTACTTTATGGTGTAATGCTGTGGGTGCCTTAAAACATTTGCAAATGTTGGAATACACATATTATACAAAAAGGATCTGCAAAAACCAAAGCGCCAACCAACCTATCTTGTAGCAAAACGTCGCCCTCACAACAGTCCCTCCTAAACATATCCCTAATCCTTTAGAAAGTGGATTTTCAAAAACCCAGGCCCCACAGCAACCTGCTCTCTAAATACAAATATAAATATAAATAAATAAACAAATATATATATATATATATGCTAACCCTGCCGCCTCCAGTACAGACCGCGGTACACATACAGTGTGTGCCTGGCAGGTGACTCGGCCAAGATCGGCTCCTCTGATGTTCAACCCTAAGGCAAAGCACAGCAACCTGCACTAATGTTAAACTGATCGTGTGTAAGTAGCTAGAGAAGTTCTTGTATTTATGAACAATGAAAAACACCATGTACTCAGGATGCATGCACCAGACGTGCGCGCAAGTGAGCGTAGCGGCGATGTCGACGAATAGCGAAGCCAAGACTGATCGCAGTTATCAGGCACAGAGGTTGAGAGAGAAAGTTTCGATGTGCTGACTGACCATTCGTTGACGAGAAATAAGATTGGTATAAATACTACTAGTCACATTAATACTTATACGAATACCAAACTAACCCTAATACTAAGATTAATATCCCTACGACGAATAATACTCAGATTTTGTATTAATATAACTCCAAGTCTTGACCAATTTGTACTAATCATGAAACTATTATTGATATTCAATTGAATACTAATACTCATAGTAACAGTGATACTAAAGCTAATATTCATATCGATATTCATGCTGCTACTAGTTCTAATACGAAACGCAGTTGTATGACTAATATAAAAGTTCCTGCGAATGCGAACGGACAAATTGATATTAATATTAATGCAAATACTGTTGTTAATACCAATGCCAATATTCATACTAATACCAATATTGATATAAGTTTTACTACTCGTACGAAAACTAATACGCATACCCTCATGGCTGTTAATGACATACTGTTACCAATACTGACACTGACATTTATATTTTGTTGAACATTCAAGTTCATATTGGTCTTGATACGAATATGAACACTTACATTAAGGCTAATACGAATATGACAATACGAATACTATTTCTAGCATAAATATTCTTACGAGTACCAAAAACCATATCCTTATTGATACTAAAACTTAAAGTACTACCAATACTAATACATACCTACATAAACGAATGTATATAAATATACATACCGGTATGTGAAATACAAACATATGAACGCATTCATGTACCAATATATTTGTATTTTCGCATACACTTTTACGAAGATGCAATATATTCTATTTTTATGTATGAATCTACTACTATACTAATTTGATACTAGACCTATATGCCAATAGGTGTATTATGTATATATATATATCTATATATACAGGTCGACTGGCATATTAATATATTACTATACCAACATATTGATATACTTATAACATGTTAGGATGATATTGTGATGTACGAATATAATCGTATACACATAAACTAGCGAACTAACATCCTAATATATTAAAATACGAATCAATGTACTAATTCTAATATGCGAGTAGATAGGTATACAAATATACCACTATACTCGCACATTAATGCATTGATAGATTCATCTGTTCATATACGAGTCTGTTAGTATACTAACATATCAAAACTAATTCGAATATTAATTCCCAGTACTAGTGCTCCTGCGAATGTTAAAGTTGATGTTAAAAGTGGCATCAAGACATATACTAATAATAATACTAACTGCATTTCTAACACTGACATGGACACCGGCACTAAATCTAGCACTAGCACTAGCTTTTATTTGCGACTGTTGATATTCATACTTTCACTAAATACTAAATGCTAATGCCAATACCAATGCTAAACTAATACTCAGACTAGCATCAATACTACCACAAAACTAATACTAACATTAACGCTTATACTAGTTTTTAAGACTACTACAGACAATAATAGTGGTAGTAAGATTAGAGGTAAGAACGAGGCTGAGTAAAGACCAAGACTCAGACTAAGACTAAGATTAGGTTTAGGAGCGTAGCATGAGCGTGTAGAGAATCTCAAAATTGCAAACAAGTTTTTTAAACTACAAAAATCTTTCAAGTCTCAAAAACTCAAAACAATCCAAAAGTTTCAAAACTTCAGAAGTTTAAAAATAATCCACCCCCTTATTCGCACAAATTTCCGAAAACCAATACCCTTTCTGGCAGAGTCTGTCGTTGATATGCGGGGAATAACTTTGAAAAGTTTGGAACTTTTTTGGAAATTCTGGAACGTTTGGGGGAGGAATTCCGGAATTGCTGGAAGTGAGTCTGGGAGAGGTCATTCTCGCCCTTCCGCGGGCAGATCATACCTGGCATGAAAGGGCATGGTCTGTCAAGNNTATATATATATATATATAGATATACCACACTCTTTTCTGCTGTGTTGAAATTAATCATGTAGCTATAAAATATGTACATATTCAAATGCGCAGGCACACACACAATTACATTACATTACATTACATTACATTACATTACATTACATTACATTACGTTACATTACGTTACATTACGTTACATTACGTTACATTACGTTACATTACGTTACATTACGTTACATTACGTTAC